AAAACCTGTTAAATACATTTTGTTTGTAGAAACCTGCCGAAAATAACTATCAACATTAGTTAATTTTAATGTTAGAACTGGCTATAATTTATTGCTGTTTATGTATCAAGAAACTTTAAACAATATTTTGAATTTTGACAATATTACTATAAGAATCTGTGATTTTATTAAAATAATTGTGTTTAAGAAACAGTAACGTGTCAATTATAGTTATCAAATAACATTTCAATTATAGTTAATAAACAGGTGGCAAAAACAAGCTAAATACATATTGTTTGTACGAATCTGCCAGAAATAAGCATCAATACCAGTTAATTTTAATAGTTAGAACTACATAGTTACAATTTATTAGAACTATGTATTGGCATTTTTGTGATTTTCTTAAAATAACACAGTGTTTAAGAAAAAGTAACGCATCAATTATAGTTATCAAACAACATTCGAGTTATAGTTCACAAACAGCTGAGTGTACCAAAAACAAGTTAAAAACATTTTGATTTCTAGGAAACCTCTGGAAATTAAATATCAATATAAGTTAATTATAGTAGTTACAACTAGTTACAATTTATTATTGTCTATGAATGAGTCAAATTTAAATATCATTTTAAATCTTGGTAACAGCACCACAGGCAACTGTGATATTACTAAAATAACTAAGTAAAAGTTACGTATCAGTGATAGTTATCCTATAACATTTCAATTGAAGTTAACAAACACATGTGGCAAAAACAATTTAAATATATTTTGTTTGTTTGCCTGAAGCAAGCATCAATACTAGATAACTATAATAGTTAGAACCAGTTACGAGATTTTACAACTGTGTATAAGTAAAATTTAAATACTATTTTGACAATAGCAAAATTGGGATCTGTGATTTTTTTTAAATAACTCCGTGTTTAAGAAAAAGTAACTTATCAATTATAGTTTATAAACACATGATTATAACAAAAACGAGTTAAAAATATTTTCAATTACAGTTATCAAATAACATTTTATTTCAATTATAGTTAATAAACACGTGGCAAAAACAGAGTACATTTTGCTTGTAGGAATCTGCCATAAATAAGCAGCAATAAAAGTTAATATAACTTAGTTACAATGTATTACAACCCTTTATGTATAAATAAATTTTAACTACTATTTTATATCTTTACAATAGCACCACTGGAATCTGTGATTTTATTAACATAATTAAGTATTTTTGAAAAAGTAACGTATCAATTATAGTTATCAAACTACATTCGAGTTATTGTTAAAAACACAGATTATAGCAAAAACAAGATAAAACATTTTTGTTTCTAGAAATATTGTAGACATTAGATATCAGTATCAGTTAATTATAATAGTTACATCTAGTTATAATTTATTACTGTTTATTATCAGTCAAATTTAAATACCAGTTTAAATTTTGGTAACAGCACCATAGGCAATAGTGATTTTATTAAAGTCACAGTTTAAGAAAAATTAACGTATCAATGATAGTTATCCAATAACATTGCAACTATAGTTAACAAAGACGTGTCGCAAAAACAAGTTAAATACATTTTGTTTGTAGTATTTTGCCGGAAATAAGCATCGACACTGTATAATTATAGTAATTAGAACTAGTTACAATTTATTAGAACTTTTTATATATAAAAATCTTGACAATAGCAAAATTGGGATGTAATTTTTTTAGAATAACTCTGATTATTACAAAAACAAGTTAAAAACATTTTTGTTACTAGAAATCTTCCGGAAACAAATATCACTATCAGTTAATTATAATAGTTATCACTAGTTATAAATTATTACACTTGTGTATACAGTCAAATTTAAACACTATTTTAAATCTTGGCAACAGCAAAATAGGCAACTGTAACTTTATTAAAAATGACAATATTTGCAAAAAAGTTACGTATGAATTATAGTTATCAAATAACATTTCAATTATAGTTAACAAATACGTGACAAAAACAGGTTAAATACGTTTTGTTTATAGGAATTTGCCGGAAATAAGCATCAATATTAGTTAATTATAGTAGTTAGAACTAGTTACAATTTATTAACTATTTATGTAAAAGTCAAATTTATGCAGTATTGTTAATGTTGACAATAGCAAAATTGAGATCTGTGATTTTTTTAAATAACTCAGTGTCTAAGAAAAAATAACTTATCAATTATAGTTTACAAACACATGATTAAAACAAAAGCAAGTATCAATAACAGTTAATTATAATAGTTAGAACTAGTTATAATTTATTACTGTGTGTGTGTCAGTCAAATTTAAATATTATTTTAAATTTTGGAAACAGTACCATAAGCATTGCTATTTTAATTTAATAATATTTCAACTATAGTTAACAGGTTAAATACATTTTGTTTGTAGGAATCTGCCGGCAATAAGTATCCATATTAGTTAATTATAGTAGTTAAAAGTAGTTACAATTAATACAACTGCTTATGTATAAGTAAAATTTAAATACTGTTTTAAATGCTGACAACAGCAAAATTGGGATCTCTGATTATATTAAAATAACCGAGTGTTTAAGAAAAAGTAACTTATCAATTATAGTTATCAAACAGCACTCAAATTATTGTTTACAAACACATGATTGTAGCGAAAACAAGTTAAAAACATTTTGGTTTCTAGGAATCTTCTGGAAATAATTATCAATATCAGTTAATTATAACAGTTAGAACTAGTTATTATTTATTAGTGTTTATGTATAAGTCAAATTTAAATACTATTTTAAATTCAGACAACAACAAGATAGGTAACTGTGATTTTATTAAAATAACAGTGTTTATGTAAAAATTTATGTATCAATTATAGTTATCAAAGAACATTTCAATTATAGTTAACAAACACATGTCGCAATAATAGGTTAAATACAATTCTTTGTAGGAATATTAGTTAATTATAGTAGTCAGAACTAGTGAGAATTTATTATTATTTATTATGTACCAGTAAAATTTAAACTCTGTTAAATCTTGACATCAGCGTCATGGGCATCTGTGACTTTGTTAAAATAATACAATCTTTTAGAAAAAGTGATGTATCAATTATAGTTATCAAATGTTTCAATTATAGTTAACAAATACAAGTGCAGAAAAGTGAAATATATTTTGTTTGTAGAAATCTGCTGGAAATAACTATCAATTTCAGTCAAGAACAAAAGTTATGATTTATTACTCTTTATGTATCAACAAAATTTAAATATTATTTTAAATATTGACACAACACCATTGGCCACTCTGATTTTGTTAAAATACAGAAAAATAAGATAAAGTAACCAACCTATCAATTATAGTTATGAGATTTTCTAAATTATCATAGATTTGAAGCATTGAGGTTTTAGTAAGCCAGAATAGTAGTATATCTTAAAAATAGTCTGAATATTACATACAAACTTTAAACTCTTATCGAATAATTAAAAAAAAGTTCATTCTATGTTAATTACGAATTTTAGATGCAGCTGTTCATCAGAAATCTATGTATAAATTAACTATAATTATATATACCTTTAACATTAACGTTTTATCATCTAGACAATCACCTTAAAGTAAATTTAAAATTTTAAGGTAGATAACCAGTTCGATGATTTCGGAGACTGTCTATTTAAAAAAATATATAAAAAAAAAAAAACATGGAAACTTCACATAAATTGGATTTGTGTCACTTTCTAGAGGAGTTCTTTGTATTTGTAAAAACGCCGCTTGCAATTTTTTCCGAATTTTGTTGTATATTTTTCTTTGTTAACGCACCAGGATATAACGAGATTACAATCATCCTTTATAACAATATTTTTTGTAATTAAGGTTAATTTTTTTGTAGTTGGAGTCAAGACTGGCCAAAACGGCGCAATCCAACGCCAACTTCGCAAACAATCGGAATGCGCAGCCCCGGTTTAAATAAATGACGAAACCGGCCTCCGGTCGCGCTTTTAATCATATTCAAATATGCAGATGTCATAATTCCTTCCTCGCCTCATCGACATGACAGATTGTTTCGGTACAGTTAGACCAAAATGCCCAAAAAATCTATAATTGGAAGCTGGCTGGCCATTTCCCACCAAATTACGTTAATTTAAATAATCGACCACATTCCAGAGCGATGGCTATTTTGAACGGAAAATCTCGAAAAGCGCGACTACATTGTTCGCATTTTTCTCGGGCTATTGTCGCTATATTTATTCGCGTGTGAAGTGCGAATCCGATTTGATTAATCGCCTGAAACGTGTAATACGAACTCGAACACATGTGCTCGCCGAGAAGTAGGTAAGCGAAGTAACTGAATAGTTTATTTCGAGCTGTAAATTCTAACTGGCAAACAACTTAATCACTTTTTATGAGATTTGACGTAAATTGATAAAACTGGCAAGCGAAGAGCGGGTTTTTAAATTATCTTGGCCAAAACGCACGAGAAAACAACGCCGAAAACCGAACGGGGTCAGGAATTTTTGATGGGTGCGTTAAGTAATAGGTTCGTTAGCTTTTCGCACGCGAGAACTGCGTCTGGAAAAATTTTACAGATGAATGAGAGGTCTGAGCCTGATGCGCGACGACCACCACCCCCCCACCCCCTCGATGGTAATGGTCATTTGCGATCGCGACCATGCGAGAAGGTACGACCACGCGGGAATTACTGGGTTTACCCAGATTTACAACATGATCGCGGTAAATAAAATTGGATTAACTATAACTGATATAACTAATATTACAGGAATAGTTAACAAAATATGCAATTTTTCCTGTGCTAAAATTAACCGCACTACTAGTGTTTTAAATCAGCTATAGCGAAAGTTCTACGTTTAATATCAATTATAGTTAATAAAGATTACAATGGTTTTCTTCGTTACTACTAATATGTTAAATTATCAATTATAGTTAAGACAGGTTGATAGTTGTTATTTCTGGTTCTTTTTTAATCTGTCAGTTTCAGTGATAGTTATCAGGTCGGGTGTAAAAAGTGTTAACTAATTTAGCTGTTATAGTTATTATTTGTAACTATCACTCACCGGTGCTGAACGCGGCAATCGGCAACTGCCTCGAGATGCTCTCCGCCACCTCCGACGTCAGCCCGTAGATGCCCAAGAGCTCGCGCATCGTGTTCATCGCGTACTCGCGCATGTCGCTGATCTGTCCCTGATGGTGCACGCCCGTCGCGTCCGAAACGTGCGGCTTCGCCAGCGCCTGGATCGAGAAGCTCGTCGGGATCTTGGCGTCGTCGTCGTTGTAGTCGTCGGTGTCGCTGTCGCTGTTGCTGTTGCCGCTGTCGTTGCCCTTGCTCAGGTCCATCGGGGAGTGCTTGTCGACGACCAGCCGGCGCGTCGCCAGCGTCTTGCGGCGGCGCACGTTGTTGTTGAGGTTGTCGTTGGCGGCGAAGTCGAGGGCGGCGCTGGCGCCGTCGGCGGCGTACGCGGCGTTCGAGCATCGCGGCTTGAAGTTCTTGCGCTTGTTGCGCTTGGGCTGGTCGAAGGCGGCGGTCTTGGGGGAGGCGGCGGCGTACGCTTCGGGCTCGGAGTCGGACGAGTTGGCGGCGCTGAAGACCTGGCTGGCGCGGTACCGGTCGTAGGGGACGTTGTCGGCGTTCATTTTCGCCGCCACCTGGTCTGGAAAGACAAGAACGAAATGTTTAAAATTGTGGGTTTGATAAAAAATTGAATTCACTAAATAATGAATTGGTAGAGAAAATTGTGAATTTTTATTATGCTGGGGTTCTTAGACAATTTATAAATGTCGTTAGTAAATTCAAAATTGTAGAAAAGAACGTTGAAATTGAATTTAAGAAATTCCTTACCAGGAATAAATTCTCTTTGAAAGAAACTTAACAACAAAAAATAATAAATTCATAATTCTGCATAACACTTGGAAGTTTTTTTGTGTTAATTGTAGGGAACAGTCTGAGATAGAATATATAAAGTTCGTTTGAAACAGTGTACAATAAAACCTGAATTCACAAAATAATGAATTTTTAGACAAAATGATAAATTTTTACTATGAGAAGTTCTCCAGAGAATCTATAATAATCAGTTCGAAAGTTAAACATAGTAACAAAAATTACTAATATTTTGTGAATTGTCCTGTCTACACTGTCTACACAATTAATTAAAATTAGAAATAATAAATTGGTCACAGACATAATTCACTAAAGAATTTAAAATTCACCGGATAACAAATTGTTAATTTTTTACAATTCATAAAAAGCATTTGTGGGGAAAAACTGAAAAATAGAAAAAATCGTATTTCCAATTACTTTTTTAAGAGTTATTTTATTTTATAAAGAATTCTTATTAAAAAAAAATACTCCTAATAGATAAGTAAAGGTAAAAATATAGACATTAAAGTATTTTAATTGAAAATTATACTACGGAAAAATAACATTTTCAGATAGAAAGACATACTGAATTCAAAACACTTCTTACCAGGAATAAATTCTCATTAACAGAAACTTAAAAACTGAAAATAATAAATTCATAGTTGCTTATGAATTTGTAGTAGTGGAAGTTTTCAAGTTTTCTAGTGTCAATTGTAAAGAAGACTCCAAGATAAAATATTATATCGAGTTCAATTTCCAAAGACCTATAAATTTACAATAAAACTTGAATTCACAAAATAATGAATTTTCAAAGAAAATGATGAACTTTTGCCATGAGAAGTTCTTCAAAACATCCATTTTAAATTAAAAGTAGCAACAAAAATTACTAAAATTTTGTGGGTTGTCCTTAAAAGTGCACAATTAATTAAAATTATTAAAAATAAGAAATTGATCAGAGAGATAATTCTCCAAAGAATTTAAAATTCACCGATTTTTTTAAATTTTTTACAATTCATTGAAAATGTTTGTGAAGAAAAAATTGAAAAACAGACAATATTGTATTCCAAAATGCTTTCTTAAAACTTATTTCACTTTGTAAAGAATTCTTATTAAAAATAATAAATTGAATAAAGGTAACGTAGTAAAAAAATACACAATTTTGGAGTATAAAAACATATTGAATTTAAAACCAGGAATAAATTCTCTTTGGAAAAAAATTAAAAAGTAAAAATTGAAAATAATAAATTCATAATTGCTTAATAGTTTAATAATACATACAATTTTGTAATGTTAATTCTAGGAAAAGAGTCCATGATGAAATGTATAAAGTTTGGTTTCAAAACCATGCATCTGTAAATTCACAATAAAAGTTGAATTCACAAAATAATGAATTTCTAAAAAATGGTGAATTCTTATTTTGGCACAAGTTCTTCAGAAAATTTATAATAAATTCAAAAGTTAAGCGCAATAACTGCCAATATTTTGTGGATTGTTCTCAAACTGTCTACACAATAAATAAAAATCGAAAATGATAAATTCATAATTTACCAGAAAACTTAAATTCATCAAATCAACAATTGTTAATTTTTCACACTTCCTCAAACTGTGGACAAAAAATTAAAAAATAGAAAATTGTATTTCCAATTCCAAATATGTACTTTTTTGTGTTATTCCAACTTTGTAAAGAATTTTTATTATAAATAAAAAATTGAATAAAGGTAGAAATTTGGACATTAAAGTATTTTAGGACGATTCAAAATTGTATTAAAAAAAAAAGAAATACAAAGACCTACTGAATTCACAAATTTTCTTGTTAGGAATAAATTCCCACTGAAAGAGAACAATAAATTCATAATTGCTTATAAATTTATAACACTTGAAGTTTTCTAATTTTGTAATGTTAATTGTAGGGAACAATCCAAGACGAAATATATCAAGTTTTCCTTTCAAAACAATATATCTTCGAATTTACAATAAAACTTGAATTCACAAAATAATGAATTTCCAAAAAAATAACGAATTCTTACTATGACAAGTTCTTCAGAAAATCTATAATAAATTCACCACAGAATTTAAGCTTCACTGATTTTCTTATTTTTTTACACTTTATTGAAAATGTTTGTATGAAAAACTGAAAAATAGAAAATATCGTACTTCAAAAAACAAGAGTTATTTGACTTTGTAAAGAATTCTTATTAAAAATGATAAATTGAATAAAGGTAAAAAGGTAAGAGAATTCGCAAATTGTAGTAAAAAAAAATACAATTTTGGGGTATAAAAACATACTGAATTCAAAACGTGTCTTGTCGGGAATATATATATATATTTTTTTTTAATTAAAAATTGAAAATAATAAATTCATAATTGCTTACAAGTTTAATAACACACAATTTTCTAACGTTACTTCCAGGGAATAGTCCACGATGAAATATATGATGTTTGGTTTTCAAAACTATGTGTCTGTAAATTTACAATAAAAACTGAATTCACAAAATAATGAATTTCTAAAAAAATTATGAATTCTTATGACCAATTCTTCAGAAAATCTGTAATAAATTTGAGAATTACGAGCAAAAACTGCCAGTATTTTGTAGATTATTAACTGTCTACACAATAAATAAAAATGAAAAATGATAAATTGATCAGTGGCAATTCACCAAAAAATCTAAATTCATCAAATCAACAACTGTCAATTTCTCACACTTCCTCAAACTGTTTGTGGGGAAAAAATTGAGATACACAAAAAAATTGTATTTCTAACTACTTTTTTTGTGAGCTATTCCAACTTTGGACAGAATTCTTATTAAAAATAATGAATTGAATAAAGGCAAAAATTTAGACATTAAAATATTTTACCACAATTCAAAACTGTATTAAGGAAAAAATGAAATACAAAGACATAGTGAATTCAAAACATTTGTTGCCAGGAATAAATTTTCAGTGAAAGACAACAATGAATTCATAATTGCTTATAAGTTTATAACACTTGAATTTCTCTAGTTTTCTAGTGTTAAGTATTGTAGGGAACAGTCCAAGATGGAATATATTATCAAGTTGGATTTTCATAACTGTATTTATGAATTTACCATAAAACTTGAATTCACAAAATAATGAATTTTCAAAGAAAATGATGAATTTTTACGTTTTCACAGTTCACTCAAACTGTTTGTCGGGAAAATTGAAAAACAGAAAATGTCGTATTTCCAATTATTATGTATCAGTAAATTCGCAGTAAAATCTGAATTCACAGAATAATGAATTTTTAAAGAAAATGATGAATCTCTACTATGAAAAATTGCATTAGAAATCTACAATAAAACTGGAGGTTAACGTGAGAAAACTTTTCTTGATAATAATAAATTGAAAAAAAAATCATGATAAAAATTTACAAATTGAATAAAGCAAAATACAATTAAAACTGTACGAACCAATGTATAAATAAATTGATTTAAATTAAGTTTGGAAATTCACAGTAAAACTTCAATTTGCAAAATAATCAGAATTCTGATTTGGTGAATTTTTTAAAAAAGTCAAATCGATATTTTAACAGTTGGTGAATTCTTGTAACAATAATAAATTCAATGCAGTCAAATATTTATTAATTAAGTTTTGAATTTTACATAAGTGGATTCAAAACTGTAGGGGCCACGAATTAAACTTTGGAATAATGACATACTGAACCCGAAAGGTTTCCAACCAGGAATAAATCGTCCTTGAAAACTTGTAAACCAAGAATAATGAATTTATAGTTGCGTCAATGATTTGGGGTTTTTGGTATAAAAACAGTCCGGATTGATAATCAATTCAATAATTCATTGTAAATCGGAATTTATAAAATAACAAAATTTTGATGTAAAATATGCGCGCAAAAAACCGCACAAAAACAAAAAATAACAAATTGATCAAATAAACAAGCCATCGTCGAATTTAAATTACTCAAATGATTAATTAATTCTTCATTACTTATTCACAATATTTATTCAGAATTGCCGATTAACTTACGCTATTTTGGAATTTGCATCAAAAATTAATTTAATTTAGAAACACAATTTCAAAAAATGTCTTTTCTTGGTAGTGTTTATATTTGGAGTAAAATTCTGAAAATAGACGTGATGATTACGACTGCATTGTCGCATACGTAAACCAAACGATGAATATTTACAATAGACGAAATGGAATAATAAGTGAATTCATAAAATAATGAATTTAAATTCGGTTCCTCGAAAAAACCAAAAATCACGAATGAATCACAAATGAGGTCTCGTTTCCGAAAAAACCGCCAACACCTAAATTCAACTTTCAAAATCGAGCGCTGCGAGCCGCGTTTTTATCCCGTCCATAAATCAAAAAATTCCGATCGCAAACCCATCATTAATCCAATCCGCCAGTTTCAAGGAAACACAGCAAACCGAAAAACCCGCACATTATTTACGTCAAAAACGCTTTTTTGGTAGAGCCAGCGCTGACCGAAATTACGTTTCAAATTAATTCAAATTTATGCAAAAAACCAATGTCACGGAACGAGTTATGATGTTTCCAAAAACAATACGTTCACAATTTGAGGAAAGAAGCCCGCGGTCAGTCCGAAAACCAGCAATAAACACAATTTACATACTTAAAAGTGACATTAACATAAAATTCGTGTGAAAGTTCGGTGTCAACGGGAAAAAATTCGGATACGCCACTGAGCCGCATTAAAATTCAGGATCGAATAGCCGAAACCAGTCGAGCCAGTTAATTAAATAATTAAATTAAGTAATTAAAGAAAGCTTAAGTGGTGCTTACATTTCGTCG